GTACATGAGATAGTCTCGGTCAGCGAGAGGATTTTTCCAATCCTCAGCCGAGGGAAAGTTTCGTCCATTTTCCACAGGTGTAGGTGCTTCATGAATGTCAACAATGGTATTTTAAATCAACAACTCCAAATATTATTTTAAGCTTTCATGGTAAACATTAATCTTCATTACTAAAATAAGCCCCCAATGTTGGGGAACAATCCCCAAATGTTGGGGAATAGACGAAGCCTTAATTTTCTACCAAACTAAAATAATATTTATAAATTCACAACTCCAAATATTATTTTAAGCTTTCATGGTAGTCCATCCGAAACATTAATCTTCATTACTATATAAATTTCCAACATTCCTCCTCCATTTTATATAGTAAAAATTAAAGCTGGGCATAAATCAGGTTCAACCTAAAATATTCGAGGGTTCAACCCGTTTGACCCAAAAACGAGTCGGGTTCGAGCAGAAACCAGTAGAACCCGCATAAAAATAGCCACAATTAATTTTTTCGGTTCGGATTTCTAGTCCTCCATTTAAGTTTCGAATTCGACCTAAAACCCGAAATATATATAGGTTAGGGTTTTAGACATTCATTTCATTTGCGCCTCTCACGCCTCACACCTCTCATTCTTCTCCACAAATTCTCTGTCTGTCTCTCACCCAGACACCATCTCCGACTCACCTCTGTCACTCCATCCAAACACCATCTCTGGAGTCCAAGGTCTCTTCGTATCAGACTCTGCCGCTCACCCCTCTGAGTCTCTGACCCTCTCTGCCACTCCGGCTCCGCCATTTCGCCTTTTTCGTGGGACTGCGACGCCTCGCCGACTCCGGCTCTCCACCTTCTCGACTTTCATGGTCTCACCGTCGACTCTCGCTTACCAGTAAGTCTCATCTGACATCTCACCTTTAGAGTTTTATCTACTCATACTCATAGTCCACTCATTCTTTCACACAGGAAACCCTAGATCTGAGGCGATATCATTGGCTTCTTCGGTGACCGCCTCTGGCCATTAAAACCTTACATGAGTGACAGTTAGGTCCGAGAAAGCCTCGTCTTAGTTTTGTGCTGGGCAGACCCAATAGTTGTTTTCTTTATTTATATATATAATTTTAAAAAATAGTTTAAGAGGTATGAATCGCATAATTGGAAAATTATTTTCTTTAAATTCAAAAAATGCGAATAGGACTTTATATTGGTAGTTCTAAAAACAATTGTCAAACTCGTCTAAGTCTATTTTAATAAAAATAACTTCAAAATAATTATGTTTTTAAAAGAATAATTAAGTCAAAAGACTGAGTATAAGTTTTGGCATCATTAAATTAAAAAGGTGGAAAATTGATATGAATATTTTAATGTTTTAATTTGATGATGAGTCAAATGTAATTTGATAGACCCCCATAATTTTTATTGTAATTTTATAAGTTTAGAAAGAATCATATATATTACCAAAAAATCAATTAATATAGGGTCTACATGGATTTGATGGGAGATTAGTTGATAAATATTTTTTGAATAATGGTTTACTAATGTGTGTATGGGCTTACGGCGAGATGAGATGAGATGCTTTGACAATAGTTATGATGTGCATTCGTGTTGCAAAACGCCGTCGTTTTGACTTAAAACGTGCGTCCCATTTAAAAAAAAAACAATAATTCAGTTTCGATTCCCCTCAACAGCATTATGTTGTTCATTCATTGTGGATTTTTAGTTCATTCATTGTGGATATTTAGTTCATTCATTCTGGATTTTGTGTTATTCATTCACTGTGGATATATAGTTATGAATTTGTGGATATATAGTTATAAATTTGTGGATATATAATTCAAATTATGCACAAAAAAATGCTATTGCCGGGAGTCGAACCTGATTTATTTTTTTAATTGAACGCGCGTTTTTAGTCGAAACGACGTCGTTTTTGCAACCGTGTGCACCATACATGGTAGACACGGTTGCACAACATAATTTGAGATGCTTTGAAGGGAAATATAAAACACTACTAACGTTCAAATCTTAGCTACTAAGAACACATTCCTTTTTAAAATCGAAAATGTAAATTAAATCAAAAGTCCAACTATCGAGACATACCCCTGACTACAACTCCGTATGAGAGGTTCAAAATCCCAAGCCCAAGCACAGGACTAATTAAATAAATCCTATCTAGAACATGTAACAATTTAAAAGCTGACGACGCACCCAGTTACGTAAACCACAAAATTCAAATGGCGTGCTGTAATACAAACCAAACCGAATTTTAAAATCTTCACAGCATGCATTTAAAATGTCTAATTATCTAGGAGCAGAATTTGGGTGGCTAATTTAATAAAGCATTTGGAATCATTCGAGTCAACAAGTCAAGCTTTGAAGCTAATTAAGCAATGATTAGAAAATAATCAAGTTTTATACCATTGCCTGTTGGACACGTATCTATGCTTAAATTTCAAGGGCTCTTGGACACGTAAGTAGGGTTGTGGTCCACCGTTGGGCTCGCCAACGGTTTGATGAGCTGCGGTTCATCGGTTGGCTGTGATCAACCCCTTACACGGTGATCGGAGCGGAGGTAAAGCCCTCGAACCCGACCAATTCTCTCCGGAGTTGGTCGATATGCTTAAATTTCAAGGACTCTTGGACACATATCTTACAATCAAAGGGGATACGTACCCCGAGTTTGAGTGGATCCTCGAGTGCTACTTGTATAAGGCACACACAAGACATCATTTCCCATGATAGGATCAATCTCATGGCAACCATTCCCTCCACGAAAGCTTTGGCAAATGGCTGCAGACCATAGCATATCTTAACAACTCCATTCATATTTTGTAGATCAGAATCCATTATGTACTGTCCTGATTCTCCTTGTTTCATCCCAACTTCAAATCACATATGAACCTCAGCCTTTCCAAGTCCACTCCAACTCTAGACTGCGAGGCTCAACTTCCCGGCATGAATCCTAAGCTCTGTTGCCAACTCAGCTCTTTCCTCAGGGGCTTTTCTTGCAACTTCTTCAAGATTGATGTAATCACCATCATCTAGCTAAAACAGATTACAACTCCGAAGATTGGTGGCATCCAACACCAACTTTCCCACAGCCTTCGATAGACAGCCATCAACACTCACACCTTTCCTATCCAGAATCCAGCTCAACACCATCCCATACGGTAGGCTTTTCCGATTATGATCACGACAGAAAACCATATGTTGCAACATCAAAGCTGGCAGGTTGAACTTGACCATATTCTTGAGGCAAAAAGCAAAGGTGCATTCCAACTTTCCCAACAACTTATTTTTGTTGTTATTGGGTAACAAACAATCCGAGACCAACATAACCAAGATCATCTGTTCCGTAGACAACCACTTTTTCTCCGGCCTTGAAGCTTGAGTGAAACCACTCGTGCGACCCAACAGATAACTCAAATAGTCCTGGTACCCCATGGTATCCGTACTAATCCATGAGTTACCGTTATACTGAGCAACTCCCGAAGCAGATAAACTCAAAAGCTGAGCCAGCCTCTTTTCAGAAAGAACTATCTTCACACCTCTCACTTTTGAGGTGATCTCAAGCTTATTGCCATCCTTTGTCACAATCATGTGACGATAAAATTCCTTGACCAAACTCGGGTAAGTCTCGGCCCTTATGGCGAGAAACCCATCCAACAAACTTTGGAAACACAAAATTGTAGTGCTATATTACGAGAGTGCATAATGGAAAAGTTGATATATAGTGCTTGAGATGATCCCAATTCCTCAGTTGCAAATATGTGAATGCATTGAAAAGAGCCCTACCCTACCAATTTTCAATTGTAATTAATTAATGTAAAATAAGAAATCTGAAATGGGGGATATATTAATGAGGGACAGACAGAGGGCAATGATAAATAACGAACCATAGGCAGATGAGTTTGGTTGTCCCTGCCATTTTCCATCTAGCAGTGTACTATGCAAAAGGTCCTTTAATCAGACTCCATATAAATTAGGCAATTAAAACATAGTAAAGCAAGAAGTGGAAAAAAATAATATACAGAGAATAGAATAACATTGAGGTAGTAAGGCAAGTAGTAGTTAATTGATGTAGGTAACAGAGCACACTATATGTCCTAGTAAGGCACTTGGTGAAATCAAAATTAATTGATGTAGGAATTATCTCAATATAAAACTAGCTTATATTATCCAAATTCCGCAACAAGCAGGAATTATCCAAAACGACGATTATCAACTTAGAAACAAAATCACTCCACAATAAAATATCATCTTATTTATTCATTATATGGCCGAACCCACAGCCCATAACATTCCTTAAAAATCCCTTGGTCCACCAAGTATGATGGACCATCCTTATACCTCCCACAGACCCAGATTCCTGCCTTCTTAAGCTGCTCATTCCTTAAGCATCATGAGCCTAAGATCTATTCTGATCCAAAAAAAAAAAAAAAAAAAAAAAAAAAAAAAAACAATACCACTCTTATATAAGGCACACACAAGACATCATTTCCCATGATAGGATCAATCCCATGGCAACCATTCCCTCCACGAAAGCTTTGGCAAATGGCTGCAGACCATAGCATATCTTAACAAATCCATTCATATTTTGTAGATCAGAATCCATTATGTACTGTCCTGATTCTCCTTGTTTCATCCCAGCTTCAAATCACATATGAACCTCAGCCTTTCCAAGTCCACTCCAATTCCAAATTCCAGCACTTCTAATCACCATTGGCAATTTGCAGATCATACCTGCAGCCCCCTTTCAGCTTCATCAATCCTCAGAGAGCCTTGGTAATAATAGCTAGCAAAATAAAAGTCTTGAGTAAGTAGTTAATATTCAATTGAATAATTATACTTATCGATTGGACGCATTAATGATTGGGTAATTAGCAACATTCTTAAGTAATAAGCAGCTCAGTTAGCTTTGTAATCAACATTGGGCAAACAGTACACAAATCAAAGTTGGAAAGAGCCCTAACAATTTAAATTCTAATTACTTGATGTAAATTAAGAAATCTGAAATGGGATATATTAACGAGGGACATACAGTGGCCCCGTTGAGAGGGCTGGCTGAGATCGTCGGAGACGGACTGCGGTGGTGAGAGCCTTAGAGCTAATTAATGAGAACATTTCAGTGTATAACATCACACTGAAATGTTATAGTAACCATGTTGCGTAATGACAATAGTAACCATGACATGAAATAAACTTTGAAGAAGAAATAAACACATGAGTCCGCAACAAAAAGAAAAGAACTAGAGTAAGTGATCATATTTGATTATATTTAGAAACTTTCCAGCTCAATTAATTCATTGAATGAAAATGGCATAATATGATAAAACCTTCAGGGAATGAAGAGAGAGTGTTCGAACCTGAGGTTAAATTAACCTTAAACATAATATGATAAAACCAACACCATTTTGTTCAACAGTTGCAAGCAAATCCCAGTAAATACCAGTCCTTCCTTGATGAGATCTAGAGCTTGTTTCATTAAAATAAGTCTCTCCACTTTGCCTTTGAGCTACAACTAGAGGCAACAAAAATACATTAAATATGGCGGATCCCTAATAACTCATATTTTAACGCACTCTATAGATATCGGCACAACAAAACATATGAAAAGATTTAAAACTTAATGCAATATTAGAGAAAAGAAAAGAAAAAAAATCAGTACATAGTAGTTAGAGAAAACATCAGGTTTAGCAAATGCATATTGACAGATGAATCACCTAAAGGAAAGGAATATTGCAATCACACCTAAACTTAGGAACATCTTGCAATCGGAAGGCTCAGAGCGGCTCAGAGCACTCAGATTTCATAGAAAAACAAACATTTAACATTTAATTAGCAACTTGGGCTATAATTAAAAAGAATAACAAGCAAGTCCAGTCTAAGAAATTGACGACATCGATAGCGGCAACAAAAATACAGTAAATATTGCCCAAAAAAAAATGCAATCTAAAACCATAAGATGCAATGACACCTAAGCTTAAGGACATTTAAAACTATCTACAATCAAAAACTATATACATTTCAGTCTATAACATCACAACTCTAATGCAGCAAGCGGAAGAATAACAACCAAGTCCAGAAAAATTAAAAAGGACTAACCATGACAGACAAAAAGACACAGGGTCATGCCATAACTATTACCAGAAAAGAAGTGGTTTTGAGGATATCGGCGTGAGATCGACGAATTCATGGCATAACTATTCCAGAGCAACCTTCTTTATTAAAACCATAAATGCAGCACTTACCATCCACTGATCTATTCGGGACTGACTTGTTATGCGCAGTTTAGTGTCTACATTATAGACCCAGGACCAAGTTAGTTTCTTTTTTAGCAGCTCCAACTGATGAGATATCTCTTCTATGTGTTCCACACTTTTTATCTTGATCTTCGGCTCCTAAATTTCATTAACTATTGGGCTATTGGACTTCTCTAGTTCATCAATCAGACTATCTGGCATTACACAGGTGGCCTACAATAACCTTCATAAGTCCCCTCGCTCCATATTCCCGAACAAAAGGGCCTGTAACTCAAAATGATTGTATGCACTCCACACCTAGCCATGACAATTAGTTCAAATGATTGATTTATGAACTGATTGAGACCATACGACAATCATTTTTATACACAAATGATTGATTTATGAGCTGATGGAAAGTACTGTAGTAGTGAGAGGCACCATCAGATGCATAAGCAAATGGATATTGCAATCACACCTAAGCTTAATCACATTTTCATCTATCTGCAAGCAAGCAAAAGCCTCAACGCACTCGATTTCATACAGAAACATGTCTGCAGCATCACAGCTATAATGCAGCAAGCGGAAGAATAACCAAGTCCAGTAAAATTAAAAAGAACTAACCACGAAAGACACAGCAGCAAGAATTTGATTCAATGTAGTGATTATTTCATTGAAATAATTATCTCCAATTTGTAGTTGTGTGAAGATGAATGGTTGCAATATATGTTCGCAACTCATGGGTACTAAGACATCCATTTCAAGCAATAGAATTCGAGCAGCAATGGTACAAAGTAAGGATACAGTACAATAGGAAATAAAAGAACCATAAGTATTGTGAATAGGAAAACAAATCAGCAGTAATTAACAACCCAAAGGATTTAATTAATTGATTTAAAATAACAAAAGGATTGTCAAGCAAATAAGAAAATTACCAGGTAAACGTGAGTGAGTAGTTAATGTAAGGAAAATGATTGTGAGTGAGCAATCTACTAGTGTGCTCTGTAAAAATCTAAAATCTAAAAGAAGCCGCAACTGAAAGAAAAGTATACACAAATATTTCAATATATAAATTTAAAAGAACTATGAAAAATTGTAGTGCTATTAAAATGTTACCTTCCGCATAAGTTGCTTGTTATCATGTAAGTTTTAATTCATAGATAGGATTTTCACTTTCCCCAATAAGTTTTAAACAACATAAAGTATTGGGGCATAAGAAATCAACTATATAAGTAATATTACGAGACTGCATAATGGAAAAGTTGATATATAGTCCTTGAGATTGAGATTGAGATGATCCCAATTCCTCAGTAATTAATTGATGTAAAATAAGAAATCAACTATGGGGGATATATATATTAACGAGGGACAGCCAGAGGCAATGAGATAATAACTAACTAGTGGCCCCGGAGAGACGGGCGGATAGATCGGGCTGAGACCAGCCGCATAAGTCCGCAACACGGCGGTGGTGAGAGCCTTCGGGATAGATACGAGCTCATAATGTAAGTTTCAAACTATATAAGTAATATTATCGATTGGGGGCACTAATGATTGGGTAATCAGCAACATTCTTAAGTAATAAGCAGCTCAGTTAGATTTGTAATCAACATTGGGCAAACAGTACACAAATCAAAATTGAAAAGAGCTCTACCCTGCATTAGATCTTGCTAAAAGAGCAAGAAGGCTGAAGGCTTGCATTTTAAATGACCAACAATAGCCTAAAAGTTAAAATTGCAATAACAACCTGTGTAAGTTTGCCCATTAAAGTCGAGACTCACTCACCAGTTTATCAATGACTTTGTCCGTTATATCATGAAAATAAATATACAATTTGGGAATGCTATTAATAGTGTAGTAGCAGTATTCTTTAAGAAACAGAACTTTAAGAACCAAAAACATTTCAAACACATTGTCGTAGACTAGGAAAACCGTCCGAAACAGCATTCTAATAATAATACATATAGTTGGAAAAACAAATTAAAATTACAAAAATTTCCTTTACATTAAGCAATTACTGGCTCTATTCTGGTTTAGGTGTCATGTTTACTATTTGAAGGTCAAACTGCTTCTTCTTTCTCTTTTAATTTCTTTAACATTTTCGTATAATGTTTTAAATTTGGTCTTTCGTATTAAATATATAAATGTAGTGTCTAAATATATAAATGTTATTCACTAATATGAATATATACTCTTCCTCACTATTAGTTTGGGCTTAAGTTGGATTAAAGCACACAATTTAACAAAATGGAAGAAAAACATGCAAATCAGATTCTCTTATTCAACTGACAATAGTTTACCTCAATACTATCCTTTCCAATCCACCAGCACAGGTAATAATCTTCTTTCTTATCATGATAGTGATAGGTGTATAGAACTACATAGCAATCTCCGCTGTTTGCACTGCCATTGATGCACCAAACCTGATATAAAGGCAGCATTTAGTACTACATAAAATAGATGGCAGCTGTCACCGGTATGAAATTTAAAATCAGAGAGAGAATTCCGAATAAAGCAACTAAGAAAGCAAATAAGGCCCATATACAGATTAAGTAATTCACACATGGCAAACTACTGATCTAGGCTTAGCAAAAGATGATATGTGCATACACAAAAAAGGCTTTAATCTTTTAAAGTCCGCATCAACCTTAACATAGAGTACTATCAAAATAGTAATAGTAAGAGCAAATAAAAAACGGCAAAATGAGCAGTACTAGTGTGCTGTGTAGAAATTTAAAAGAAGTAACCATGAGTGAGTGAGTGAGTAGTTAAAAAAAAGTAAAGGATTGTCAAGAAAATAAGAAAATTACCAAGTGAGTGAGTAGTTAATGTAAGGAAAATGATTGTGATTGAGGCATCTACTAGTGTGCTGTGTAGAAATTTAAAAGAAGTAACCATGAGTTGTAGTGCTATATTACGAGACTGCAGACTTCTATCATCAAATGTAGATGCTAGTGTGCTGTGTAAAATCGATCCCCGAGAAATGAACAACGATGATTCATTAACTTCGATCATCAAACGTAGATGCTAGTGTATGCTGAATGAGGTGGCAGACTTCTAGATGAGGGGTTCAAATCAGTAATGTGGCCTTGTTATCAGTGGCAGCAATGGAAAAAAATAAGAATATTTTGAAGCACAGTGGTATCTCATTCGATAAAAAAAAAAAAAAAAAAAGCAACATCTACTGAGCACCGTCAAGCATTGTAAGGATACAGCATGTAGTTTCCCTAGTCCCAAAAAAAAATTAATTTAATGGTGATTGTGTGTAAAAAATGATAAAGTACATAGGCCAAAAAAAATACCAGCTCATAATGTAAGTTTTAACCAGGCGCAAGAGAATTCGTTGGGCACATAGTAAAGAAAGAAGTTAAAACTTAAGCGAAGAATGGAATGGCCACGAGTATGCACCAAAATAGTACTATGGAGATATAAATGCATTTTCAGTTTCCCCAAAACAAACAATTAGCATAAGAGTATAAAAAACAAACAAACAAACAAACAAACAAAAGCACTTTCAATCGGCAGTAAGGGACATGATTAAGGGCACTTGAGACCATGTTGTGACAATGAACAAGTGCTTTCAGTAGTATTTATTTACTATGTTTTAATCAATGTGGTTAAATTAGCCATGACAGACCTCATATTGTCTACAACTAAGATTTTTGGAGCACTCAGAATAATGGGAAAAACTCAGATTGCAATCTACTTGATGAGAAACACACAAACAAGACCAGTCCAGTTGTATATTACAAGACTGCAGAATTGTAATGATATTCCAGTTAAATAAAAAAGAAGTAACCATGAAAAGAAAGACAGTTGTTAAATACCAGTCCTTTTGATCGTCCATGATGCACTTGTCTTGTTGAGAAGTCTACCCGCAATGTACTTTAAAATGTTACCTTGGGATAATCAGCATCGTATAGCACAGCAGCAGACGCAGCAGCTAGGTCAGCTCACTGCATACGAGCTCTTATATAAGTAATATTACGAGACTGCAGATTGAGATGATCCCAATTCCTCAGTTTAGCCCTAATTCAATTTCAATTGTAATTAATTGATGTAAAAATAAGAAATCTGAAATGGGGGATATATATATATTAACGACGGAGGGAGGGGCAATGACATAATAACGAACCAGTGGCCCCGGAGAGACGGACAGATAGATCGGGGTGAGAGCGGCGGAGACGGAGACACGGCGGTGGTGAGAGCCTTAGAGAGAGATGGGCGAGGCGGGAAGATAGGTAAGGAAAATCTGAGGTGAGGTTAGATTATTAAACTTAAGGATAAAATAACCAAAATATCCCCGGTTGAGCTGAGCTTGAGCTGACAGTATGTAAGTAAGTGTTGAATAATTATAAAGTAGTTGTTTTGTGTAGAAACTTTGACTGGCCATAACTTTTGACTCGGTCGTCCGTTTCGGACAAATTTTTTTTTGAAATCGCGTATTTTGGCCGTCGGCCGTAGGCGGTTTGGCCGTCGAATTTCTCACCAAAACGCTTCTTTTGGTCTTAATTTTAGTTTTTTATGTATTTAGATGTTTTGAACAATATTTCGAACAATTTTACAACTACTTGCGTAAAAAAATTGTAAGAAAAAACTATGGGAACATTATGTTTTATCAGTGAATTTCATTATTACGCAATCAATTGAAAGAAACTAAATTAGTGATTAAACTTTTCTAAATAGTATATATTGTAGGTAGTGTATTTGCCTTATATATATCAAGAAGATGAATTAGCACAATTGATCATGATCTTTGTGGGGAGGGGAGGTTGTGTTGTGGGTAATTCATTCATCATCATATCAATTATCAAAATAAGAAGTTTTGTTATAAGTTTAAAATGCTAATTATATTAAGTTTGAAGATAGCTCCTCTCAAAAAAATTGAGCTATACATTAAGTTAAGTTGTTCCATTATATCTAAAGTTATCATAAGTTCTTCCATATATTATACAATGTTGATCAATGTTATTATCTAAAGTTTTAAGTTACAAGTTAGCGATGAATGTTATTATCTAAAGTTTGAAGGACAACTATATATTATGTGTAATTATCTAAAGCGTGAAGGACAACTATATATTATGTTTATCCGTGTTATTATCTAAAGCGTGATTATGTCTATCCATGTTATTATCTAAAGCGCGAAGATAACTATATATTATGTCTATCCATGTGTATTATATAACTTTAGGTAAATTTGAATCAATATAATATCAAGTTAGCTATACAATCATGAAATCAAAATTTTGAAGTTTACCTACCTAAAGTTATATAATTATACATTCATGTTATCCCTAATATATGTATGTTAAGTAAATTCATTAACGTATTTTCTTATTTGTTAACATATCAGTTAATATATATTAAAACCATCATTGTGTTCTCTTCTATTTAAATGGATGGTGCTTTAAAACCATCATTGACTATTACTTTCCTCTTCCTTTTTCTTTTTCCGCTTTTAGCGTGGAGGCGAGGATGCGGCGAGACGAGGGGGCGGGGCGAAGCTGCTGTGGCTTTGGGGGCGAAGATGCGGCTAGTCGACGCGAGGCAAAGCTGCTGTGGCTTTGAGGGGCGAAGATGCGGCTAGGCGACGCGAGGCGAAGCTGCTGTGGCTTTGAGGGGCGAAGATGCGGCTAGGCGACGCGAGGCGAAGCTGTGGCTTTGAGGGGCGAGGATGCGAGGGCGAGGCGAAGCTGTGGCTTTGAGGGGCGAGGATGGGCGAGGATTCGAGGGCGAGGCGAAGCTGCGGCTTTTGGGGGCGAGGTTGCGAGGGCGAGGCGAAGCTGTGGCTTTGAGGGGCGAGGATGGGCGAGGATTCGAGGGCGAGGCGAAGCTGTGGCTTTGAGGGGCGAGGATGGGCGAGGATTCGAGGGCGAGGCGAAGCTGCGGCTTTTGGGGGCGAGGTTGCGACGAGGCTGTGGCGGCGAGGCGAAGCTGTGGCTGTGGCGGCGATGAAGCTGTGGCTGTGGCGGCGATGATGCTGTGGCTGTGCCGTGCGGGCGAGGATGCAACGATGCTGTGGCGACAGGTAACCCTTCCGTACGATTAATTACTGACAGGTAATTTAATCTTACATGCTACCTTTTTCTCATTCATATGCTGCGATTAATTACTGGAGTTGTTCTGCTCCGTTTTGTTGAGGGTAGCCGGCTTGTGCCCCAATTTATTATTATTGTTTTTGTCTTTGGCCGTGCCTTGGTCGATGCTTTTGTTTCTGTTATTTGTTGTTGCCGTGTTTCTTTGTCAAAGACCTTTGGCATGCCGCCGAACTTCCCGGCGGAATGGTAAAGTGCCGGCGAACTTCTTTCCCGGACTTACTGCCGGAGAAATTCGCATAGGATAGGACGCGGCCGTTGGTCGTTGTCGAACAACCCGGCCGTTGGTGGTTGTCGAACTATCCCGTAGCCGACAAAGTTCCCGGCGGTCGGCGGCGCCACAAAAAATTCCCGGTGGCTGGGCAGTCGATGCCCGGGACAAAACTGCTGCTGGCCGCCAGTCGCCGTCGCCGACCGTCCGTCGAACTACCCCGCCGGCGACAGTTTGCCGCCGGCCGCTCCGTCGAACTACCCCGGCGAAAAACTGCTGGCCGGCCGTCGTCCTCCCTCCGACGAACTATCCCGGCGCCGGCGATAAAACTGCTGGCCGGCCGTCGAACTACCCCGGCCGGTGGCGACCACCATCAGAAGTATTTATTATTTTAATTGAAATTTGTGATGCATGGGAACTTACAAGGATATATTTATTTGAATTAAAATTTGTGATTTGTATGGGGCCTCACAAGTATATATTTATCTGTGACCTTTGATTTCTGACGCATGTGAATAAATAAATGTAATAAATGTAATTAATGTAAGCTGGTCCCACCACACATTGTAGATAAGTAATTTTAATGGCTGTTTAGCATATTGAATTAGCCAGAACCACCCCGGCGACGGAAGACCCCCGTCGGCCAGAACTTTCCGCAACCTCGGCCACCCCGTTCCGCAACTTTCCGCAACCTCGGCCACCCCGTTCCGCAACTTTCCGCAACCTCGGCCACCCCGTTCCGCAACTTTCCGCAACCTCGGCACACCCGTACCGCATAATTCCGCAACTTGGGCACCCTCGTACCGCATAAGTCCGCAACCTCGGCACCCTCGTACCGCATAATTCCGCAACCTCGGCACCCTCGTTCCGCATAAGTCCGCAACTTGGGTACACTCGTACCGCATAATTCCGCAACCTCGGCACCCTTGTTCCGCATAAGTCCGCAACTTAGGCACCCTCGTTGCGCAACTTAGGCACCCTCGTACCGCATGAGTCCGCAACTTAGGCACCCTCGTACCGCATAAGTCCGCAACTTAGGCACCCTCGTACCGCATCAGTCCGCAACTTGGGCACACTCGTTCCGCATGAGTCCGCAACTTAGGCACACTCGTTCCGCATATGCCCGCAACTTAGGCACCCTCGTACCGCATCAGTCCGCAACTTGGGCACACTCGTTCCGCATGAGTCCGCAACTTAGGCACACTCGTTCCGCATATGCCCGCAACGTAGGCACACTCGTTCCGCATAAGGCCGCAACTTCGGCACACTCGTTCCGCATAAGTCCGCAACTTAGGCACCCTTGTTCCGCATAAGTCCGCAACTTCGGCACACTCGTTCCGCAACTGTCCGCAAGTTAGGCACCCTTGCTCCGCATAAGTCCGCAACTGTCCGCAACTTAGGCACCCTCGTTGCGCAACTTAGGCACACTCGTTCCGCATGAGTCCGCAAGTTAGGCACCCTCGTTCCCCATAAGCCCGCAAAGTAGGCACCATCGTTCTGCATAAGTCCGCAACTTAGGCACCATCGTTCCGCATAAGTCCGCAACTTAGGCACCATCGTTCCGCATAAGTCCGCAACTTAGGCACCATCCGTTCCGCAACAGTCCGCACTTAGGCACCGTCGTTCCGCATGAGTCCGCAACCTAGGCACTAACGTTGCGCATAAGTCAGCAACTTAGGCACACTCGTTCCCCATAAGCCCGCAACGTAGGCACCATCGTTCCGCATAAGTCCGCAACTTAGGCACCATCGTGCTGCATAATTCCGCAATGTAGGCACCATCCGTTCCGCAACAGTCCGCACTTAGGCACCATAGGCACCTCGTCCCCACCTTCGTCCGCAACTTAGGCACCTCGTCCCCACCTTCGTCCGCAACTTAGGCACCGCCGTCCGCACTTAGCCACTTAGTACGGAACTCTGTCCGCACTTAGGTACCATCGTGCCTCATCTGTCCGCAACATAGGCACCAACACAGTGATGTTCGAGTGAAACGTGGCTAAGTCCTTGGCCACTAAACACTTGTACACAGAACTTGAAACTTGTGAATACTTTGACACTTAGCCATTTTTTCAAGCCTTTGTTTCTTGATTGAGCGCTTAACCACTTAGACATCCTAACCATTCTTGGAATTGTAACCTCTCGCGTAATAGTGTGGATTGAATTGGATTTCATAGGGAGTGATGAGATGTGGATTGGATATGGGGTGGGAGGGACGAATCGGAGCGACAAAGGGCTGAATCTCAGAGGATCGTGGCAGCAAGGCCACTCTACCCCTTACAATACCCCGTCGCGTATTTAAGTCGTCTGCAAAGGATTCAGCTCGCCGCTCGACCTATTTAAAGTTTGAGAATAGGTCGAGGGCGTTACGCCCCCGATGCCTCTAATCATTGGCTTTACCCGATAGAACTCTCGCGCCAGCTCCAGCTATCCTGAGGGAAACTTCGGAGGGAACCAGCTACTAGACGGTTCGATTAGTCTTTCGCCCCTATACCCAAGTCAGACGAACGATTTGCACGTCAGTATCGCTGCGGGCCTCCACCAGAGTTTCCTCAGACTTCGCCCCGCTCAGGCATAGTTCACCATCTTTCGGGTCCCGACAGGTATGCTCGCACTCGAACCCTTCTCAGAAGATCAAGGTCGGTCGGCGGTGCACCCCCGTGAGGGGATCCCGCCAATCAGCTTCCTTGCGCCTCACGGGTTTACTCGCCCGTTGACTCGCACACATGTCAGACTCCTTGGTCCGTGTTTCAAGACGGGTCGAATGGAGAGCCCACAGGCCAGCGACCGGAGCGCGCAGGTGCCGAGGCACGCCAGGGGCGCGCTGCTTCCCACGATCCGAGAGACGACGTTCCGCGGGCGTATCAAAGGCCCGGGCTTTGGCCGCCCCCCGAATCCTCGCTGGTCCGCGCCCCGAGTAGATCGGCGGACCGGCTCTCACCGTTCCACATACTACCGGG